AAACACATAAAAACTTGTAATGATGATGGGGTAGGAAATTCATATGTTTCTTGTAGAGATATAACCTGTAACACAACATGTTAACTTACATGTCCAAGTCAATTGAGTCCTCAGTTTCAGATGTTTCTGTTTCAGTTTCATACTGGGATGCATGAGAGCTACTTTCTTCTTCAGAGTACTCTTCTTCCATTTCATAATCCTCCTTATTCTCATCACTGTCAGTAGCAATGACTTCTTCTACTCCTTTGCTTTTCTCTGGACTCTTGACAGCTGTTTCTAATTTCTTTATTCTCGATTCCAAGTTATTTACTAAAAATATAAATGAACATATTCCATTATGGTTCCCTAAAAATGTATCAAATTGGCCCACTTTCCAACTCAACCCATCTCAAATAGAAGGAAACCCAAAGGTTACTTTATTCTTACTTTTTCTCCGGAATTTTTTTACTTCTTTTTGTCGCCTTTTCATAATTTCCCTGAATGTTTTAACATCTCTGGACAGTTTTCTGTTCTCTGTTAAAAGGTGTGCACAACTAACACAAGCAGGTGACACATCAGGCTGATCAGGATCCTCTTGACTTGTACTTGCCGATACTTCCACTTCTTTGGATGTGGTTGGCTCAGCAGTAGAACACTCTGGCCTTTCCTGTGAGGATATTGCTTCCTTTACGATCTACAAAACAGTTCATACTGTATCTAGTATCAAATTGCATACAGAAATTACAAACGGAAATTACAAAAATCAGCATGGCTGAAGCCACAAAAGACAAAGAAAGCTCTGATGCACAGACTAAACGAAATTGTCTTTCTTATAAGCTTTGCCCAATTTATACTGTATATCAGTTTAATTTAAGTGTTAGTTTCATGTTATATAATGATATATATGTTTATTAAATCAGTTTAGTCACGACACCAGTTCAGTCAAACAAATTAAGTTACGCACAATTATGTAAATATAAAATTAGCATACCATTCTCTTGTCCCTGTCTGAAACTTTGTGTGCGTCAGTTGATGGCATGATTGTTGGGAACACGCAAATTCCGATCTTGTCCCTTTTAAGCCATCTGTTGCCAACGGAGCTTTCACCTTCCACATGGGAAAATCGTCGCAAAAAATCTTCGGGCTTGAAATGCTCAGAGCATATAACTGAATACGACGTCGGCGTCCATTTTGCACGTTTGAGGCTTACGAAGTCAGTCCATTTCTTTCGTCTTTTTTTCGCTTCGGGCCGTTCGTCCCCAGAATAAGGAATTGCATGCAGCGATATTTCTTTTTCCTTATCTCCTATGTTGCTACAACCGGCAACAACGCATCTTTTCGGCATTTTTTCGCTGTTCGTATGCCTAACAAACTTGCCTAGCACTGTAAAATAATACCATATCTTTGTGTTGACATAAACAGCTGGTTCACCAATTGACGTCACAAGCCGAGACAATCAATCTCGCTCGTGGGACAAAATGGCGTCGATTTTAGGGCAATTTTTCAAACTTTGAGAAGCCATAGAATTGCGAGAATTCAACCGATTAAAAAAAAATTTCCAGTTTTGTACTCCATAAATAGCGGTTATTTATTATATGAAAAAAAAATTTAGGGTGTTAGTGGCACTTTAAAATATAATTACCGTTATTAGCAAAGGATAATTTTATCATTTTTTTGTAGTGTGGGTACCCATGTACATATTTTAATTGTTTTACCAATCATCGGGTGTTTACAAGTTATCGTATCATTATCGTTGTGTATAGTGTGGCCGGGACTTGGTCGTTCCAGTATTTATATTTTGATGTATGTTTTTTGAAAGTATATATAGCTGAATGAATAGTGAGCTTTTGAAACTAAACATTCAGCACTGATTTTTCGACACTTATATGTCAAAGAAATACTTGTTTATTTCTTATTTAAGTCGGAAAAAAGGACCTTTCGGGCTTGACACTGAATTCATTAAAATCAGTTCAAAATATTTTTCTATCTTTAGCAACAATAGGGAGGGTTTTTGAACTTTTTGGATAATTTTTTAAATTTAAAAATTGTCTTCACTCCTCGGTTTGTGCCCGCGCAAAACGTGAGAGCTCCGTGTGATACGGATCTCTCGTCAACCAATCAGAAAGCTCCATTTACGTTAGGAACAGTGCAAAAATAAAAGACAATATTTCCATACAATAATTTATTTCAAACGGTTTGTTTAGCCATCGTCTTACATGCATGCGTAAACTCCCTACTCGCCCTAATACCCCCACCTGAACCTGCCTCTTAGGCAATATTAGATGCAATGTGAACATTCTATCAACTTCTAATACCCTTTAACAGTACTGTCCATAACAGGACTACTGCAGTTTCTGCCGTTAGTTTCTGTGTCACTTACGAGGCAAGCAGACTTTAAACAACACAATCTTTTCTGAACCATGGAGTCCAACACCAACAATTCTTCGTTCACGACATACCGAGATTGGCCCTGCGCAATTGCTTATGTCTAACAACGTTGACATTTCACCAACCTTTACGTCTATAAAGTACAACATACTATCAATTGAGATACAAATTAAATTTTCATTGTCATAAAACTTCAAATTTACATAAATCATGCATGGGTCTATAACATAAATGCGTGGCACACAAAGAGGGATCTCAGCAAGGAAACTTATTGAGACAACGTCAAAGACGAATATGCTGTTACTGCCAAAAATGGACAATGCTAATCTATTTCCGTCCGTAGAAAAATCGGCTTCCCAAATACATAAAGGTGGTAAAGTATACATAGGCAGTTCAACATTCTCATAAAAAGCATTTGTCCACGCATCTATCTTCTTTCCACCTTTCCAGAAACAAACATCATTCGATTTCAACGTCGCAACCACATGATAATTGATTCTACATGCGTGTACTGTTCTAACACCTTCATTAAAATTTGTTCGGTATACTTCTTCTTTGGTGAAAACATTAAAGAAGCAAATAGAATCCTGGCCGTATACAAGAGCTATTACTTCATCCGATACTGACAGGGATCTCGTGGGGCCAACCAGTTGACCAAAGCTATCCAGACGTTCTACTAAATCACTATTCCATAGCTCCGGAGTGTCATTTTCTCCAAATAAAATCACACCGTCTCTTACAACTAGAAATGCTAGCATATCTGAGTGAACGTAAGGCTTTGAAAATATATTATTTGAATTAAGTTCGCAAATGGTTAGTTTTTCTGTCGACTGCCTCATTAAATAAATAAAATCGCCTTTTGTAGATATACTGGAATGGGTATATTTAGGTTTGAATGCCTTGCTCTCGGTATCTCTTAGATCCTCCATACTAAACACATACATGGTATTTAAATTCAAATGGCATTGAAAGACCAGGGAACGGTTATCGTCCATTAGGATGTATCTAAGTGCACAATGCCTGCACCTAAATGAGCAGTAATCAAAACTTTTAAAGTTTTTCAGCATCTTCGAAAACAAAGACTCCTTTGAATTATTTTGTTCCTTTAAAAAACATTGTATTTCATTAGAAGAGTAAACATTAATTGGCAGAGCTATATTTCTTAGATAGGTGGTACTAAAATCAGATGAAAAGGAGAGATCATGATTTACAACTTGTATACAATTTTCGACAGCACAAACCCACGAATTTTCATCAAAAGTGGAAACGATTTCCACTGGGAACTTAGAGTCAACTCTTCTTGACTGAAGGTTGTAATCATTTGTTACATCGTAAACAGTGAACACGTTTTCTTTATCAATTACACCCAAAAAATTCCCACTAGCAGTAAAAGAAAAAGAATATAACGCTTTGCATGGCACAACTCTTTCCTTACCGCCGCTTAAAACGTCCCAAGCAATCAAGTATTTACCGCTATTTGTGACCATTTTGCTACCATCCAAGGAAAAACAACAATCTGTAAATACAGAACTACTTTCATCAGATTGAAATGGTCCAGTTATAAACGTTCCTTGCAGGTCTAGCACCTTGTCGAGCCTACCAGGTAATATCAAATGTTTACGAGGGTGAAAAACAACACAATGCGGCAACATCAAAAGACCATCAATCTTTTCTGGAAAGAAAGGAGATTTAACCGTAAGTTCATGAATTTTCCACTCAGATTTACCTGCTGCTAAAGAAAACAGCTCAATTCCACCCTCCTCATAACTACAAACAACGTAATCATGTTCAGGGGACACGTCAATACCTGATAATCTGCCGGAAAGACAACAGCAATCTTGAAGCTTATCTTTCTTAAAAAACTCAAAATATATAATATCTTTGTAGCGTGTTTGAAGCAAATTTGAGGCTTTGAGCGAAAATTGTTCTGGCCCTTCGTTGACAACAATTTGGAAGAAAGTTTGGGGATCACCACTTAAGAAGCAGTTGGCCTTCTTAATTAGGAAAATCAATTGACTCACTGTTTTTCTAACGTTCTCAGAAACATGTATATTATACATCTCGTGATTCGTAAGCTTAATGATGTAGTCTGTTATAATATATGTGTTGTCGACACAAACAACGGCAAACATAACTTCTAAATCTGCAACGTAATCACTTATATAACATTCTAGATTATCAATATATTCTAACCCGTGCACCATATGCAGTATGAAGTATCGTAAGGCGTACATGATAGCCGCACTAGCAGGGTCTTCATTACTAACACTACTTTGCTTAAAATCATCCAATTCCTTAACACGTTGATCAAAAAGAATTTTGTGACCATATGCAAGGCCAGAAATGACAAACGCACGATTTTCGGAAATTTCATCATTAAACCAGGTTAAAAGTTGTTCAAATACCCACTCTTAAGTACCGTTTACAAATTTGTTGAAATGCAATTCGATTTCCTTCTGAAAGTCGCACCAAACAAGATATTTGTTTAGAACACTGTCCGACTGGGGTTTCTCTTCTTTTCTAACAAGCACTTTCACATCATTTTTTATCTCAATTTAGGCATTCTTATTTTCATTCAAAGTACGCCTATTTTCTTCCAAAGCATTGATAATTTTATTATCCCATTCATTCCATTCCTTCACCACTCGCTCCACTTCCTCTCCCCCACACTCTTCATTTTCTAGTCTATCTATTTCTTTCTGGTCTATTCCTAAGCGAACTAATGGTAAACTTATTTCTGCCCAGAAAGTCTTAAAATCTGCAGTACTAACTGCTGTATTGGGGATGTGGCCAAAACGCTCATTACGAAAAAACCTTATACGAATGATATCGGCTTCAACAGAATGATCTGAAATATTCGGCATTTTGTCCCAACCGGAAAATGGCGGTGATAAATGACATATGTTTCTTAAAAGGACAGATAGCAAAGTTATGTCAAAATCCATAATATTTGGTTGGTTTGGAGAGACAGGGTATAATTTATCCCACTGGTTTTGATTGATTATTTTGCCACTTCTGTGGTTTGAAAGAACGCGCTGATTACGAGATAATACAACCTGTAAATTGCCAGGATAAAATTTTCTAAATATGTTCCTCAATGCTTCTGTTCCATCATCCAAAATTAGTCTCATCAACTTCGTGCCATTAAATGCTTTATCTGATCTGCCAAGTAATGAGGATGTTGAGTTACTTGCCATGATCACCTGCCATAAAATAACACAGCATTATCGCTTTGTTCTCGTAGCCTAAAAACAGACCTATGTAGCCTAAAAACAGACCTACGTGGGGGTCGACGGAAAGGGCGAAACGTTATGAAAACAAGTGAAAACCCAAATTTGGTTTCATACTCGACGAAATATTGAAAAAAGTGTTCCCAGACAACAAAAGAAGCACGAAATGTTGTATTGAACTTGAAAAGTAGGATTCCTTTATTATTTTACTGTGTCACATATTTACGGCCAATATTGCTAAAACTTATTTAAAACTCCGAAACATTCACTTCAAACAAATGGCGAAGACAATCCCACTCGGTTGGGAAAACCTTGTCGTGACATTTTTTTAAAACCATTTTGTTTTGTATCCTATGCTATAGATATCTAAATTTGTACGATCTATTTCTTTTGATATGTCATGTTTTCATTGTGCTGTACAGCGTCCTAATGCTGCATTGTGTTTTCGAAACATGTAAAGTGAAAAGAGTATTTTTAAGAAAATATTATTTCGAGCAATAGTTTTACATTTCATTTTACCAATTTCGTCAGCCATTTCATGAACAAATTTATAATGTTAAACAGAAACTATTTTTAAAGTCTGGTGAAAATGTCATTTCATCAATATCATCTTGTTTATATTCTAAGCACAAATCGACAAAAACCAATACCCAAATTTGTAATAAGCACTCACAGACACAGGAAGCCATTTGGAAAGCGTGTGCGTGGAAGAAGCACTGCAACAATTTTATCAGTAACCGTGGACCGGCCGAAAACAGTCAGTTATTTCTGAATTTTAATGAATTAATACTGATATTTGGATATTTTGTTTTATTCATTTAAATTTATACTAAAACAATTATTCGCCTCAGGCTCAGTGATTACGGTGAATATTTTCCTCGGCTTCGTCTCGGTGAATATTATAATAAAAATTTGACTATTTAAATATAGCGCTTAATCTATCAAAGAATATTCGAAAGCGTTGTATACAATGATGAACTTATAATAATAGCTAACATATACCCTAAATAGCTGGATATTGGCAATATATAGTTATCCTAAAAATTTAAAACAGTATATACACTAATAATTCTTAAAAATAAGTCTATTCATTTGCCTTCGGATCCTAAATAGAAATGTCTTTAATTGAACACCGCGGAAAAACGTCCGCGCATGCTTCAACATTACTGAGATCTGTATTGCGAACGTGATATCAAGTGTTCCGAATGTTGTCAAAAACTCAAAATGGAAGCGACTTCGATGTTTTCCCTTTTCTATGAAAATGCAAACGGAATAATGAACGTGACAACCTAAAAACTAGAAATTATTATAGTCTACA